ATTTTGCTTGCCGTCTGAGATACAGCATTTTATCTTGTCAATTTTCAAAAGTAAGGTGGTCGTATTATACATATTTAATACTTCGTGCACGTTTTTTCACATACAAGTAAACATGTAGCTTTAGTGTAAATGAAAAATATCATTTCACAATAATATTTTCAAAACAAGTAGTTTAACGAAATCTTTAAAATGTATTTTTTTGGTGATGCTATTTAATATATAACAATAATAATAATAATAAAACTTTAATTATTTCCTTTTTCGACTGTATCTTGAAAAAAACGAGTAAAAAAAAATTTTCTTCTCCATACCGTATTTAAAAAATTAATATGGACATTAAGAAAATCTTCGAAAAATTTTTGTCATAGCTTTCAAAATTCGAAAAACAGTCACATCTTGATAGGAAAGCCAGATAGGCCAAAAATAATTCCACGTATAGAAAATAATTATTGAGGTGCAAAAATATATGTTACACGGATTCATACAAACAATCGTAATAATTCTAAAAATTTTAAGTTGTACTTCAAAGGCAAAGCTACATCCAGCGTATCCTAGCTATAAATTGATTAATTTTCTATTCTCTATCATGTATTACAAAAATATTTGTCACTTAACCAAAACCTATGTTCTTATTATTAGTTTCAAGATAAGTAAAAATTAATTGTAAGCATGGATAAATTTTAATATTAAATTATAAATAATCATAGAAAACGAATTAAATGAAAAATTACAACTTTACAATAGAAAATAGCTATATGTCTATTGTATTCTTTGATCTCAATCAGATAAGTAGAGTGGATTATTTTACTGGTATGGTAGCCAAAATTAAAGAAAATTTATATTTGTTGGATACAATGATTCCAACAAGAATTAATTAGCAAACATGGAAGTACTTAGAATGTGCGAATCATGCGTAACATAAGTACATGTATTTTATGGACACCCATACTCAAATACGGAATAATAATAAAATTTTTACTATTTTAATATCGGATTCTTGAAGAC